GCAGAGCTACTCAATGGTCGCAAACTCAAGGACAATCTTCCGTCGAAGATTCGACACAACCGGCACGACAAAGATGACGTGTATGCCAGGTTGGCCCAGCGCCAAGACAAACAGAAGGAGTACCATGACCGTGATGGTATGCGCAAACTATCATCACTGGTACCGGGACAACACGTGACGGTTCAAGATCATCACACTGGGAAATGGACACCCGCAGTTGTCAAAGATGCTTGTCCAGAACCCAGATCATTCATTGTTCAGACACCAACTGGACAAAGCTTACGCCGTAACAGAGTGCACATTCGCAATACTGAACCAATGAGAAAGACACTCCGCTTTGCAGACCCACCAGTTGCTAGCGTACATACCCCGTCACTCAACCCACATGCCCCCAAGTCTATACTGAGGAAGACTGGGAGCAAGTCTACTGATCAGAAACAACACAGTGACAACAACAACTCTATCACTAACTTACCTGCTGTGCCTACTGAACCATACCGTACACGCAGTGGCCGCGTAGTGAAGAAACCACAAAGACTGATTGAAACATAAGCCTGTTTCAAGTAACGCTTAGAGACAACAAATTCATTTTTTTTTTAAGTTTTATTCTTTTAATGTATTTTTTTTTGTCGTTACAAGGCACAGAAAGAAGTACTAGCGTAAAAGAAAAAAGTAACTAAGTAAAGACAATTTTAGTTCACTTTGTTCAACAAAGAAACAATTTTTTATGCAGACAAATTTTAAGTTTTGTTTTTGTCATTTAGAAAATAAGAGAAAATTGTGCGAAAAGGATGTGTTACAACACCAAGTAGAAAAGTTTCCTACTTGGTTCAGCAAATTAGATGATAATTTGGCGATTAGTTCATTCCTTCGACACACAGGACAATGCATTGTATATGTATTTCCAAATTTGCTACAAAATCTAGTTCATTTAACCCTCACTTTCATTCATAGATTTTGTTCTCAAAAGGGGGGATGTAATGGGACCATGCATATTCATATAACCTTTGATCTATACCTCCCAGGGTAACTTGATTACTGTACATGGAGCGTGGAACATGAGCTACAGAACTTCACTTAATACATCGTTAGTCTTGTCATTATTCTATCATATCATATCACAGTCAGTCCATTCTTGTTTGAGAAATAATAAAATTCAGAAAATGTGTAAATAATCAAATTCAGAAAATGTGTAACCCATGATTGGTGATGAATGCCCTATGGAGTAGGTCCATGCATGTTTGGAAAATAATCAAATTCAGAAAACTGTTTAAAAAAATAATTGGTGATGAATGCCCTATGGAGTCAGTCCATGCATGTTTGGAAAATAATCAAATTCAGAAAATGTGTAGCCCATGATTGGTGATGAATGCCCTATGGAATCAGTCCATGCATGTTTAGGAAATAATCAAATTCAGAAAATGTGTCACCCATGATTAGTGATGAATGCCCTATGGAATCAGTCCATGCATGTTTGAAAAATAATCAAATTCAGAAAATGTGTAACCCATGATTGGTGATGAATGCCCTATGGAGTCAGTTTATGCATGTTTGGGAAATAATCAAATTCAGAAAATGTGTAACCCATGATTGGTGATGAATGCCCTATGGAGTAAGTCCATGCATGTTTGGAAAATAATCCAATTCAGAAAGTGTGTAAATAATCAAATTCAGAAAATGTGTAACCCATGATTGGTGATGAATGCCCTATGGAGTCAGTCCATGCATGTTTGGAAAATAATCAAATTCAGAAAATGTGTAACCCATGATTGGTGATGAATGCCCTATGGAGTAAGTCCATGCATGTTTGGAAAATAATCCAATTCAGAAAGTGTGTAAATAATCAAATTCAGAAAATGTGTAACCCATGATTGGTGATGAATGCCCTATGGAGTAAGTCCATGCATGTTTGGAAAATAATCAAATTCAGAAAATGTGTAAATAATCAAATTCAGAAAATTGTGTGACCCATGATTGGTGATGAATGCTCTATGGAGTAAGTCCATGCATGTTTGGAAAATAATCAAATTCAGAAAATGTGTAACCCATGATTTGTGATGAATGCCCTTATCATGCTCTAATTCGGAAAATGTGCCTGATGTATTTTTATTGAGCAGTCAAACTTATGCACTGTTTTTTTTTGTCTTGTTGACCTGCAGTATTGATGCCACCCATGATGATTCCAGGCTTGGAGGACTAGTGAATGATGACCATGTCATTCCCTTGTGTGTCATGAAAAAAAGAGTCTTCAGTGGCATCCCTTACTTGTTTCTTTTTGCATTAAGGGACATTTCCGTTGGGCAAGAACTTACCTATGACTATGGTGACATCTGTTTGCCATGGAGGAAGAGTAATAGATGCATTTCACAAACTACACACCCAGATATTCACTGCAATCCTGAAGATAATTGTCCTGTGTCAAGCATTCCAAGCAGTCTTGTCACCAATAGCACAATGCTCACAAGCCTTAGTCCAAGCAGTCTGTCTGAGGTGCTTCCTACTGTCACCAATAGCACAATGCTCACCAGTCTTAGTCCAAGCAGTCTGTCTGAGGTGCTTCCTACTGTCGACTCTGGGTCCACTGGTAAGGTCACCAATAGCACAATGCTCGCAAGCATTTGTCCAAGCAGTCTGTCTGAGGTGCTTCCTACTGTCGACTCTGGGTCCACTAATGATGCCACCGATAGCACAATGCTCACAAGCACTCGTCCAAGCAGTCTGTCTGAGGTGCTTCCTACTGTCGACTCTGGGTCCACTGATAAGGTCACCAATAGCACAATGCTCTCAATCACTCATCGAAGCAGTCTGTCTGAGGTGCTTCCTACTGTCGACTCTGGGTCTACTGGTGATGTCACCAATAGCACAATGCTCTCAAGCATTTGTCCAAGCAGTCTGTCTGAGGTGCTTCCTACTGTCAACTCCAGGTCCACTAATGATGTCACCAATAGCACAATGCTCACAAGCACTCGTCCAAGCAGTCTGTCTCAGGTGCTTCCTACTGTCGACTCTGGGTCTACTGATGATGTCACCGATAGCACAATGCTCTTAAGTATTCGTCCAAGCAGTCTGTCTGAGGTGCTTCCTACTGTCAACTCTGGGTCTACTGATAATGTCACCAATAGCACAATGCTCTTAAGCATTCGTCCAAGCAGTCTGTCTGAGGTGCTTCCTACTGTCGACTCTGGGTCCACTGATAATGTCACCACTAGCACAATGCTGGCAAGCACTCGTCCAAGCAGTCCGTCTGAGGTGCTTCCTACTGTCAAACCTGATTCAACTAATGATGCCACCAATAGCACAATGCTTGCAAGCATTAGTCCAAGCAGTCTGTCTGAGGTGCTTCCTTCTGTCGACTCTGGGTCCACTGATGATGTCACCAATAGCACAATGCTCGCTAGCCTTAGTCCAAGCAGTCTGTCTGAGGTGCTTCCTTCTGTCAACTCTGGGTCCACTGATAATGTCACCAATAGCACAATGCTCGCAAGCAATTGTCCAAGCAGTCTGTCTGAGGTGCTTCCTACTGTCAACTCTGGGTTCACTGATAATGTCACCAATAGCACAATGCTCGCAAGCATTTGTCCAAGCAGTCTGTCTGAGGTGCTTCCTACTGTCGACTCTGGGTCCACTGATGATGTCACCAATAGCACAATGCTCGCTAGCCTTAGTCCAAGCAGTCTGTCTGAGGTGCTTCCTTCTGTCAACTCTGGGTCCACTGATAATGTCACCAATAGCACAATGCTCGCAAGCAATTGTCCAAGCAGTCTGTCTGAGGTGCTTCCTACTGTCAACTCTGGGTCCACTGATAATGTCACCAATAGCACAATGCTCGCAAGCATTTGTCCAAGCAGTCTGTCTGAGGTGCTTCCTACTGTCGACTCTGGGTCTACCGATGATGTCACCAATAACACAATGCTCACATGCATTCTTCCAAGCAGTCTGTCTTTGGTGCTTTCTACTGTCGACTCTTGGTCTACTGGTGATGTCACCAATAGCACAATGCTCTCAAGCATTCGTCCAAGCAGTCTGTCTGAGGTGCTTCCTACTGTCGACTCTGGGTCTACTGGTGATGTCACCAATAGCACAATGCTCACAAGCCTTAGTCCAAGCAGTCTGTCTGAGGTGCGTCCTACTGTCGACTCTGGGTCCACTGATATTGCCACCAATAGGACAATGCTTACAAGCATTCGTCCAAGCAGTCTGTCTGAGGTGCTTTCTACTGTCGACTCTGGGTCTACTGGTGATGTCACCAATAGCACAATGCTCTCAAGCATTTGTCCAAGCAGTCTGTCTGAGGTGCTTCCTACCGTCGACTCTGGGTCCACTAATGATGCCACCGATAGCACAATGCTCACAAGCACTCGTCCAAGCAGTCTGTCTGAGGTGCTTCCTACTGTCAACTCTGGGTCTACTGATGATGTCAACAATAGCACAATGGTCTCAAGCATTTGTCCAAGCAGTCTGTCTGAGGTGCTTCCTACTGTCGACTCTGGGTCCACTAATGATGCCACCGATAGCACAATGCTCACGAGCACTCGTCCAAGCAGTCTGTCTGCGGTGCTTCCTACTGTCGACTCTGGGTCTACTGATGATGTCACCGATAGCACAATGCTCTTAAGTATTCGTCCAAGCAGTCTGTCTGAAGTGCTTCCTACTGTGGACTCTGAGTCAACTGATGATGCCACCAATAGCGCAATGCTAGCAAGCACTCGTCCAAGCAGTCTGTCTGAGGTGCTTCCTACTGTCACCAATAGCACAATGCTGGCAAGCATTCGTCCAAGAAGTCTGTCTGAGGTGCTTCCTACTGTCGACTCTAGGTCCACTGATAATGTCACCAATAACACAATGCTTGCAAGCATTTGTCCAAGCAGTCTGTCTGAGGTGCTTCCTACTGTCGACTCTGGGTCTACTGATGATGTCACCAATAGCACAATGCTGGCAAGCATTCGTCCAAGCAGTCTGTCTGAGGTGCTTCCTACTGTCGACTCTAGGTCCACTGATAATGTCACCAATAGCACAATGCTCACAAGCATTCGTCCAAGCAGTCTGTCTGAGGTGCTTCCTACTGTCGACTCCGGGTCTACTGATGATGCCACCAATAGCACAATGCTCTTAAGCACTCGTCCAAGCAGTCTGTCTGAGGTGTCTTGTGCCACTGATGTAACCAAATATAGCAAGCATTCCTATTCACATGTTGTCAACAGACGTGCCATGTCGTCCTGATCCTTCAGCTTTTGATATCCTGGAAGATATTTGTGGAGGATATGTGTATGGCAATCAGAAAACCGAATGTCACATAGATATGGAAAGTTTTCATTCTATCATTGATGATCGTCATTTGTTGCAGGAGCCTGTAAAACTGCCCTTCCAAAATAAAGTCATACAAGCTCATGGCAAAACTGTGCAGATGACGACTGACAATTCAGAAAGTGCAACTGAAGAGGACTCATCAGACACTTCAGAGAATAGTTCAGACTATCATGGTTCGGAGTCAGATGAATCTGAATCTGATGAGGAATCAATTGTATTTGACCAGCTAACAGATAATAGCTCACAATTCCAACCACGGCCTTGCAGAGGTAAAGCAGAGCTAGAAGCTAATGGCAAAGTGCAACCGTCTTCTGATTCATCTTCTGATGGAAGTGACTCCTCATTTGATGAAATCCACATCGAGTATTACAAACAGAAGGAGGTAGAGGGTGGTTTGATCCGAGCTTACAACAAATTCAATGCGTGTTTGTTTTGTGAAAAACTTGTAAATGATGGCGGAGTAACTATGGGTGACTTCTTAAAGCCATCTAAGTTTGATGCTGTAATTCAAGCTGTTGAGGATTTGGCAGGACAGGATGAGGGGGAAGGTGGTGATCATGAGCTACAGCGTCCATCGTTTGCCCTCAAAGCAGGATATGATTTGGCCTGGCTTGCTCGGATTAAAAGAGGAAGGGCCATACGATCCCATGACATCACATCTGAAGAGGAAGCTAATAAGTTTCTGCAGCTACATAGATCAGAATGGGGTCTTAAAGTTTCTGCCTCAGCTTGCAATACCCTTAACACTCGCAAAAGCAAGAAACCTGTGAGTTTACCTAAAACCAGTGACCTTCAGAAACTGTCCAAGTATGTTACCAGTGAGGTTAAGAAATGCAATGAAATGTTCACAACTTCTTCTACTGCCAACTACAGCTTTTTAAAGCGGATGCAGAAAGTCACACTTGTACGTCTCTTGTTGTTCAACAAACGACGGCCATTGGAGCTCTCACAGATCACCACTGACACATACATTAATCGACCAGGATGGAACAACTCAAGGGTAGAAGAGCTGTTATGCCAGATGACATCTCTTGAAAAGAAGCTGCTTGAGAGTCACGACCTCTTGAAGATGATTGGAAAACGGGGGCGAACAGTCCCTGTTATTGTTCCTCCAGACTGCAGTAAATCACTAAATGCAATTTCCAAGTTGAGGCATCTTTTCATTCCTCCATCCAACCAGTATATGTTTGCGAGAAACACACCATCCACACACATGCAGGCTGGTCATGTTCTCAAAGAAATTATCTCAGAAGTGTCTCTTGACTCACCACAAGACATCCGCACAACTAAAATGCAGAAATACACTGCAACAGTTGCACAGATTCTAAGCCTACAGCCACACCAATTAGAATGGGTTGCTAGCCATCTTGGCCATAGCGTCAACATACATAAAGACTTCTACAGGGTGCAGGACTCAACAATTGAACTGTGCAAGGTCTCCAAGTTATTGATGGCCATTGATGCTGGTGATGTGGGCCAATGGGCAGGCAAGTCTCTGGATGACATACAAGTTGAAGGTAAATAAATACACATACTTACCAATACTGTAGTGGTACCTTACTTAAGGGAGACTTTCCTATGGACCTTTACATCAGATTCCACCTTTTCTGACCCTTAACCCCAATTTTACACCATCCAACCCCAATATGTTTATGGTATTATTTTTTGGGACCAGGAGTCAGAGTTGTATTCAAGTTCCCTGCAAGACGTTTCACAAATCCACTCACAAGTCTTTCCATAAATGCCATTCACAAGAAACTATTGATGAACAATGACAAATGAATGCTTTTGAAGCGGTTCATTTGAAAAGCTAGTGATAAGACTAAAAGACTTGTGATGGACTTGTAGGGACTTGTGATCCACTTGCAGTGCCTTGAATACAAATCTGAAATCAATGTAGCCTATTTACGGCATTAAAAATCTGCCTCTAAATAGGAGCTGAGACATAAGGGTGACATTGAAATGTCAGCATATTCCATTTTGTCTCCCTAAGGTGCTAGTTATGACCATTAAGTGTCTCCTTATTAAACGGCATTTGTGGTTATAAGAAAGAACAATTAATTCAATATAGGATTAAAAGTTAGGTTGTGGTCATAGTTGCAAGATTCAGACAGATGGGGTGTTGCATGCCATGACAGTAGAGTACAGAGCAGAAGGCACACTTTTCTTGCCAATATGATCACAACCTAGAGGTCTTTATTCTGCAGCAAGACTAAGCCTTTTCACATTTGGTCTGTTTACATTTACTTAATAATGAGAATATTGGCACAATAGATGTGTAGCACTACCAGAAAAACAAGTTTTCTCATCAAAATTTTCAAAATTGTCATAATCGTCTATATTGTCTGTCTGTCTGTCTGTTTGGTTGTTTGTTTGTCTGTCCTTTCTTTGGTGTGTTTGGGGTATTTGTTGTGTGTGGGGTATTTGTTGTTATATTGGGCTTCTAGTTTTTCTTACTGGCTACCCACTTCTTCATTGGATATTGTTTTTGTAAATTATATGCAGATATTGAGATGGAAGCAACTGATGAAATTGATGACGATGGAGATGAAGATGAACAGGAAATGAACCAGGGTAGATTTAACAAATTTTTTACAAACATTAACTTTACTATTCCTGTGCAGCTCATGCAGCTACATTATGGGATATAACTAACTCATGTTGGCTAAAGACATCAAATAAATTGAAACAAGGGTGCATTGCCTGCCTTGATTCATTACCATTATAATTGGAATTGAAATTACATAATGAATTGAGAGAGCCAGTCAGTAGCCGTGTCACGCACACAGCCCTGTTTGACGTCAGTTTCTCGTCCCGAGGTCAAGCACGCATGGCCCAAAAGCGTACGCAAGATTTTACGAGATGTATTCGAGATTACAGAAAAACACAAAAAGTGCCTCAATACATGCACTGTTTGGCCAAGATGGCTAAATAAGTCAAAAAGTGGAAATCGTGTGTTTTATTTTGATAACAAAAATAACTGCTTTTGACAAATATAAAGTGTTGTTATGGCCTGTCAAACAAAATCATATTTTTTATCAACAAAATCGAGGGCCGTTAATTTTTAGGTGTACATTCGATTCTTAAAAAAGGCCAAAACAAATGTCAAGGCTTAGTACATAAAGGCAAGTATACGCTTCATTTTCATGTGAAACACGTGCAGAAGTCTTCTAATGTTTGGTCCAAATTGCCTGTTAAAAAATGAAGACTTTTGCGAGATTTCATGATTCACAATCACATGTACGCATGTAAATGAACGTAAGTAGGCCAACAGCCTGAACAGCACGTGCGAACGTGCAATGAATGACTTATGAATATTAAGCAGGCCATCTCAAGCTCGACTAATCAGTGTGCAGGCGATGCGTATGGGGTCACAAGGTCACACCGTGTTTGGGTTCCTCACTCTATGCTTTACAATGGTGACGATCTTTTCGCGTTGTGAAAAATGAAAGTTGTTGGAAACATTAGGTGTACATAGAATTCTTTAAATACTAACGACATCACGTTCACGAGATTACTTGTAGATGAAGGTTCACTCTTTCCTTTGATTACTTTGGGAGACTTTCGTCGTTCTAAAAAAAACACCGGAAATTGCATGACCTAATTTTTAGTCGATTTGTCCGTGAAATAATATCGTCAAAATGCATGGAAATCTTTCTTTATAGAAAAAAATACCTTGATGAATGTATGTAGTAGGTCTTTAACTACCCAAAACAACTTTGTTTGTTTGGATCGGTTGTGGTTTGCCAAGAAAATTGCGAATTTTCTGAAGCCCTTTTTACGGCCATCATTCGCTGGCCTCGCGTTGCTATCAATTGTGTAGACAAGAAAATAGAGCAGCTACGAGTGACACGGCTACTGACTGGAGCTTTGAAAGATGACATAAAAATTACCTGTTACCTTCCTGTTTTCTTTGTGGAAAATTCTACGGATAACTGTTCAATGAATGTTTATAAATTCCATGCAAAATCATTTTGTTGAAATTTAATTTTCAATAAAAGTCTTCTTCTTTTTTTTCTAGTCTCACTTCAAACCTGTTTCAACAAGTCATCATCAGCCAGAGAACCAAGCCCTTCATGTGCACCTAGGTGTACTCCAAGAAGAGGTAGGTTGATATTTGCCCCCCCCCCCAACTCATTAAATTTACACCACTATGACTTCGCGCCTCTTTTTCTTTTCTTTTTTCTTCTTTTTTTTTCTTCCTTCCTATTTTTTTTTTGGTTGCTTTTCCAGGGGGGGGGGGCAAGCGCCCCCCCTCCTTGCCCCCCTGTGCAACGCCCATGCCTAAGTGAAATTAAATTGAATTGTTACTAAAGCAACTATAAACATTTCAGTTTAACTTACTACTTTCTTGATACATGTACATGATATCAGGCCCATTGATAGTAGGCTGCTTATGTCGTGCCCGGCAATATCTTCCTCCAGCAGTTATGCTCTACTTGTATAAGTCCACAATGTGTGCTGTCATGGAATACTGTTGTCATATTTGGGCTGGTGCTCCAGCTTGTCATTTGTCCCTGCTTGAAAAAAATTTAAAGACGTATTGCAAATCTAGTAGGACGTGACCTAGCTTCTTCCCTGGAACCTCTCAGTCGTTCTGTAGCTTCTTTGAGCCTCTTTTACATATGTTAATTTGGCAGGTGCTCCAGTGGACTTCCACTGGTTGTTCCACCTAAACATACATTTTGCTGCTCCACATGTTTATCTGCCCATTCTCATCCTTACACTGTTTTCCCCAAAGCGAATACTAGGAGATACTCATCCAGTTTTTCCCCTCACTTCTTGCATCCTGCTTTCAATCCACTTACGATCTGTCTCAATTAAAATGCAACATCAATAGTCGTCTTTCTACTTTTTTCATTTCCTCTTTGATTATTCCCATTCTTCCTTTTTAGTCGTCACCTTGAGTGGCCCGTCTTGGGCCTTGTGATTGGCTATCCCAAAAAAATTTCAAGAAGAGGAACCATGCATCCAGAATGTGTGATCCACCTTAGCTGGGGAAACTCAGTCCTGCATTCTTGTGGTCTTGGGTTGAATGGTCAGTCTGTCTACATCCCAACCACTGCAAGATGTAGCTGTATTACATTAAACAATATAATGTGTAACACACAGGCAAGGAACAGGGCCTGCATCCTTAACATTTGTTTAGAAACATATTTTTTTTGTGTATTCTTTAGTCGAAACTGAAACCAGATCCAGCTCACGTGAGATGCCATCCGAGTTAGCTGAAGGATCAAGACCTCTTCGTGTATCAGGAAAGGGTGGGTTCCATGATATTGTTTGCAAAACACATGTTTCTGATAAAAAAAGATTGATCTGTGAAAACTCTTTAAAAATTTAAAACGACCTGCATACAGGGCGGTTCCACAAAAAAAAGGAAACCCAATTGTAATTTATATAATATCTAATGAACATTTCCAAATAAATTATAGACCAAATGAAAGATCCATGTCTCCTCTTTCCAGTGATACCCTGATTGTGTGTCTGTGACCATGGATGACTGAGCAGTCACTGTTATTCTGTCAAGGGTCAAAACCTGCACTGGGCCAAGTTGTTGCAAACTGGCAATTGGTATTCAGGGCATGTGAACCGGCTTTTTTTAACGAAAGAAGACAACATTTTCTTGACAACAAATTATTCAATGTTGACACTGTGATTAAACCACTCTCATTGTTGAAGTTAACTCCTTTTGAACCAATGTCTTTAATGTCACTTCCACCTCTACTTTCCACACAAAGCTTTGAATGTTGTCCCATTTCGCCCACTGCCATTTCAGCCGTTGCATAACAAACCAGCCAGTCATCCATGGTCACAGACACTTGTCTATAATTTATGAGGAAAAAGTTATTTGATTTTGTACATATTCATTTACTTTTGGGTTTCCTATTTTTATACACACCCCGTATATGTTTTAATTAATCATGTTAACATGTTGAATTTAACCCAATCAATTTTGATTTAACACTTCTGAGTGATTATAAAGTGCTGTCATTGACATAACTCTGTAAGAGTTGAGTTTGATTTGAGAAGTTGTATTTACATATAACTGTAGTGATTGTAGTTTTTATTTAAATAGGATTTATTATGGGAAATGCACCATTTCCACGTCTGAAACTGAGCCTTTCTCCCACCTTTCTAAAAAAGGTGACATTATATAATTTAGCCCAGACAATAGTGTTGCCATGGGCAATACGTGTAATGTAAATATTTAATTTATGCACTGATGGTGTAATTTATAACATCTTTCTTTTTATTATCATGATTGCATTTGAAAAAGACTTCTACATTTGTAATATAGGATGGTTGCTAAAATTGACTGCGTACATGTACATTGTACATTTATCATGTGGAATAATTTGTTTATAAAAATATTTATGTTTATTTACAAATATTTCTATTTAGGAGACAAATTTCCTTGGTCCAAACAAGAGACATCCTGCATCTGGGCACAAATGAGAGAACTCATCTTGAAAGAAAAGGTACCAGGGAAGAAGGAATGTCAAGCTTGTATCACAGCTTCAGTTCCCATATTGGACAAAAGAACCTGGCAGTGCGTAAGTATAAGGTCTATAATATAATAAACGCGGTCAGGAGAAAAAGCACAAGATAAAGGCTACTGCAGTACAAAGTACTACAGTGCTTTGTATTGGTACTGTGTGTTAAGTACCACACGAAACAGTAACGTACATGTAGCTTGAAGAGGGGCTCTAAAGTCTTTTTATTTTTTTTCTGCACTTTTTTTTCCAATAGTCAAAGAATCCTCAAGGGAGTAATCATGGCAGTGGGAAAACCTCCATTAAAATGTTGTCAAAAGTCTTTTTAGTTGATGCTCCTTTTGTATGAAACCTGAGCGTGACGACACTTGTACAAACAAAAAGTAGGCCTGTATATTTAATACAGCGTGTGTCCCAGAAAGCCTGCAGCTTTTTTGACGAGGCTCTAGCATCGGTGCGGAAAAAGTACCACTATTATTTTTATACCATTTTAAGGCTTGGAACCTGAACTTTATCGCCGCTGAGTATTGCCTTGATGTTTAAAATAGTTTTCAAATAAGTTGTGTTCAAAATGTAAAGGCATGTGGAAAAAAAAATCAACAGATTTCACGGACTATTTAAGTCAAGATTTTATTAAAGAATCTTAAATCTACCTCACTTTGATTGATAGTCATGCACACGCAGACATGAACTGAGAATTCCCTTTCAAAAAATGTACAGACCTACCGGTATATAGTTGTTAATATGACAAATTTTTTTTTCAATTTTTAATGGAAGGGTATCAAAATAAAATGATATTTTTTACCATTTAAATATTAGGCAAGAGACTTGTGATCTGTTTTCAACTTTCATAAGGACTCTGGCTATTAGAAAGTGTGTGTAGGAAAAAAATATTGAATTTGACCTGAGAGCCTCTTCTTAATAACCCATGAAATACATGTACATGCACCACATTTTCCTGCATAATCTTTAAAGTATTTGTGTTTCAATTAAACAACAGTGATTGGGTATTATCGATCGTTGGAGTTGAAAGTAATAATCGATTGTTGGAGTTGAAAGTAATTAATGTTAAAGTTGATGTTTGAGAATGTTTTTGATGAAAAACTTGGGGGATTTGCAAATCAAACCAATGTATTGTAATTAATGGATTTTTAACCAAAACATTCTATCAAGGGAGAGCCTATTTTCATAAAAAAGACAAACATTCACTTTCAGTCACATTATATTCACATTAAATTCTAATAATTTCAAGCTGAAAGGTTGGAGTAATTTTTTCTTATGTTGATTTTGTCCTCAAGTTGTAGGGCGGCAAAGTTATGAAGCTTCAGTTGATATATCATGTTTTTTTTTTCAAAGGAATTTTCTTACTAATTGTATGTTTTCGAATAATGCTTGTTTATGAAAATCACTTGACCCCAACTCATTGTTAGTCACCACTCTCGACAAATGCATTAAAGGTAGAGTACTGCCATTGGTGACTGGTGGAAATACAACTCTCAACTTTCAATGTAATTGTGAAATATGCAAATCAAAGGTTTATCGCCATCAAGGAAAGTATCAGGACTATTCGAGTGCTCATGCTAAAAATTTAATAACAGTTATTGGGCTTTGTCGATTGTTAGAGTGGTTATTGTAATAGTTGATGTTTGAGAACGTTTTTGACAAAAAAAACTTGGATGGTTTGCAAATCAAACAAATGTATTGTAATAAATGGATTTTTCATCAAAACATTCTTTATATGGAGAGCCTGTTTTCAGGGGGAAAATAAGACAAACAATAACTTCTATGAATTCAGTCACATTATATTCACAGTAAATTCTAATAATTTCAAATGGATAGGTTGGAGTAATTTTTTCTTATGTTGATTTTGTCCTCAAGTGGTAGGGCAGCAAAGTTATGGAGCTTCAGTTGATATATGTGTGTTTTTTATCAAAGGAATTTTCTTACTAATTGTATGTTTTCGAATAATGCTTGTTTATGAAAATCACTTGACCCCAACTCATTGTTAGTCACCACTCTCGACAAATGCATTAAAGGTAGAGTACTGCCTTTGGTGACTGGTGGAAATACATCTCTCAACTGTCAATGTAATTGTGAAATGCAAATCAAAGGTTTATCGCCATATCAGGACTATTTGAGCGTACCGGTAGAGTACAGTCATTAGTTGCTGGTGTAAAATGTGATTGTGAAATGCGAATCAAAGTTTTATTGTCATCCAGTAAAGTACCAGGACTATTTGAGTGTTCATGTTTAAATTTAATAAAAGTTATTGGGTTTTTCGATTGTTAAAGTGGTTATTGTAATAGTTGATGTTTGAGAACATTTTTGACAAAAAAACTCTGGGGTTTCGATTAAAAATATTTTATCCAGGGAGAATCTATTTGAAAACAAATCACATACCGGTACATAAAGTCAGTCACATTATAATATATATTCACAGCAAATTTCAACAATTCCAAAAAGTGGAAGTGATTTTTGTCTGTTGAATGGTCGATTTTACAGACTTGTATGTACTTTTCTGTAAGTTGAAGGGCGGCAAAGTGTTATTTGCAGCATTTTACCTCAAGACACAGTCTTTTCTCTAGTACGTGAGTTAAGGCCCCTGGAAAATTCTGCTTCAAAATGACATATTTTGGGGGGATCTTTATGTACATTTGTGTAGGTGTCTGCATGTAGTCAAGGGTAAAAGGTAGTTATGTATGGGTTTTGATGGGTTTTTTTGGTTTTATTTTGGAGGGGGATAAAACAATTTTCCTGACAAAAATAATGTCCGGGTCTTCAAAAAAGGGTACATAGGTAACATAAGCCGATGTTGTTTTTGGAAAAAATGTTGCAACCTGCACTTCAGCAGTTGTGTACAAAGTCTATAATCAAGAAAACTGTCCAAATATTTCCTTAAAAAAATTGGAAAGTCCCGGATTCATGTCTTATCATCATTTTTTTGCAATAACTGACCTTCATTGAGATGATATATGAAGAAAAATTGGCGTCAGGCTGCAACATTATTTCCTTGTTTTTTTTTGGGGGGGGGGTCCTAAATATAACATGTATACGGCATTATATTTCAGGAGCCGGATTTTAAGTAATGAGGCAAGTTGTATTGTTATTGCACAGAAGATGTGATCTTTGGAGACTGGACCCAATATTATGTGATTATCGCAAACGAAAATGTTTTTTTTTTTTTTTAGGATTTGTAAGGATTTGAAATCGGGACAGGTCACAACTGCTCTTGCTGTCATTTGAAAATAAATATTCAGTTTGAATAGTGATACTGATATAAGCCCCAAACATTGTGTCTGATTGTTTTCTCATATTCAGGCATGCAACTTTTCCTCAGATCAGCTGATTTCGTCTTTTTTTACTTCCCATGTGTGCCATTGAAAATAGAAAAACACTGTACAAAGTCTGGGAAAAATGTGAATTTCCTCTTTTGTTTGTGATTTCCCAGTTGCATGCCTGCATATTAATTCCGGAAAAAAATGAAGCAAATGGGTCTCCATAGGGTAACAACACATTCAATCCTTGAATAAAGTAGAAAGTCTGTGATTGGCTAAATTTCATGCACTTTTCTCATATTTAATCCGAAAAAAAATTGGAAGCAAAAGTGAATCATTACAACAAGGGTCTCCATGGGGTAACACATTCAATCCTTGAATAAAGTAGAAAGTCTGTGATTGGTTAAATTTCATGCACTATGCAAATTACCTACACACAATTCGTCTCCACAAGGATGATTTATAAGGATAGTCAGGCACTGATAACTTTGTCTCCACAGGGCAGGACTCCATAAGGTAGTAGATTCAGGTATGGGATGATATCCAGTGTGTAAAGATCGTGCCTGAGTTTGATAAACGCATTAAACTTCACACATATGTTTGATCTGGTACACGGTACCCTGTGGAGACATTTGCACAAAAGATTGTAAACGTCTCCACAGAGCAATTTCTATACGTGAATTTCCAAAAGGTTATCACGAAATAGATAAATGGATTTTGCTCAAAAACTAGGAATTTCGAATCGCAAATTGAAGTATTTTATGTAAGGGTTATTAAGTCCGAATTTCAACTCAGAAAATGAATTGTGGTTAAAAGAGGCGCATTTGCAGGTACACCTTCAAGCTTGAAAACTTAAGTACACGAGAACAAAGGAATTACTCCACAAGGATGCAAATTCCAGCATGCGTGTTCATGAGAAAACAAATCATGTGTGGAGCCATCATATCGAGAACTCACTGAATTTGTTGTGTTCACTTAAGCTCAAACCTCTGTGCAGGCCAGTTTCCGGGCGAGAATCCCGGTAAAAATGCCCCCTTTTTCGATGTTTCGAGTCATAGTTTGATAACCAAGCGGTCTTTTTCAATGGGGGTAAACGGTTCTGTACAATTTAACTCTTTCTCTTTCTCATGGTATATGTTATTTTTTTTATCTTGAAAAAAATCCACGTACTTTCGGCTTGGAAAATGTGAACTTTTCATCATTTTCCTGTGTAAACGCACCGATTGAGCGCCCTCGCGTCAACTCTTTTGACTGTAACTCCTGACTAGAGTATCAAATTGTGTGGGGGTAAACGGAATCGAATAGCTTAGCTCCTCCTCTTTCCTTACATGTTAAACTTGTTATGATTAGGTTGAAAAAAACCGCCGTACTTTTCACAAAGAAAAAAAGTGGCCAATGACAACATTCGATCGATAAGGCATCGTTCGAGACTTACATCAATGTACCATTGCTTACCACGTGTTTCGTGATCTTGGACTTTGCTCATCACCTGTTTTTCAAAACACATTTTCTCCAATTCTACTTTAGATAAGACATTTAAAAACTATCCATTTGTAAATCAGTTATCTGGCATTAAAACTGTGGTCTTTTTAGGAGTTAATTTCATTTTAAAATAATGTAATTTTGGATCTGAATACTGTTCACTTCAAGGCAGTTATAGAAATTTGTGATGGAAAGAACGTGCGCTTGTTTATTGGGCTGTACCATTTTGTTTGTGGGGAGGATATCTATATGCATATACACGTTAGTGTATACGTCAGATTTCTTGAAGAATGCAAAAATGAAATAAGATGTTTATATCAAGTTTGACAAAATCGGACAAGAAGTTGTACTACTAGGCACACCTTCACATCGATATGTGCACAAATCCTACATTGTCATGTATAGGTTTGTTTTAACCATTTTATGAATGGAATGTACCGGGCCACATTTTAGGGTTGAACGCACAGCCACACAGGGCCAGCGTTAATCCGATTATGTAGCCCTGGACCTCTGTGTGGTACTCTGCGCGCCAGATTTAAACTGTAAAATTAAGTGAACAAAAGTGGGGGTAGCAAATTCATATATAAAACTACCAAGTTGTTACGAAATACCTTAATAGGATGTTGGTAATAAATGACAGTCTAAAGCATACTGTAAAATTAGGGCATCTGGTGTGAAGTCATTTTCAAATGGTACTTTTGTATACATTTCCAACTTCGGTGGTCGGCCGACCACCGTTGAAAAAACCTAACCTAATTTACCATTTTTTTCAGTCCAAATTTTGTTTGCTATTTGTTCCATGCATGTTCATGAACGGGTGCAGGCAAGCTAGACTGGTTCCCTTACCTTACAATTTCCGGCATTTTTTATCCTTCATCTGTAGTGGAGTCTGGGAGCCAGACTACTTGAACATTTTTGTTTTTCTTGGTTTTTCCAGCATTTTCGAACAAGCCACGAGGGTACATTGCTCCTTCTTCACATCATAATGGTTTTCTTATCCACTTTACACATGATGCTTCCTTAACGCAAACCTCCCATTATTTGATCTTCCGGTACTAAATGTTCACTGCATTTCTGTCTAATGAGTGTATCAAATATAAATCTCCATTTTTTTTAAGCTTCATGTCCACACCATTTGCTTTTCATAATGTCATTGTATATTTATATAATATAAAACTGTGGTGCATTATCAATTTTTGCAGTAATTATAGAGACAACAGAAATGTCAGCTGAAGAGGACATAATCTGTTAAAGATTGCAAACTGTAGACTGTATAGACGAGTATGTTTACTAAAAGAACTATAAAGTAAAGTAGGTGCTCAAAAGATTAATTTTATTTTAGGTCTTGTCGTAATTAGAATCTGTTGTTTGGGTTATTAGTCTGCACTGGAATTATTCTAGAAATTAAATTGTTCTAATGTGCACAAAACATGTACAAGTTTAGTTTACCATTTTGATTAGGGACAAAAGTCACAATGAGTAACATTGCCACGTTATGCTAAGTGACAGGACTTTCAGTTTAGTAATGCTGTTTGTGGTTACTTCACATTTTCAATGTACATGTATCAAATTGTTGCACATTTTTCCTTCAACTTCATCACTGGCGGTGACAGTTAACACTGAACTTTTGAAGAAACAGATTTATATACTTTGGTTTTTTTAAGATAACGAATGTCAGTGATGAATTGCGAACAAATAAAGCAGAAGCTGAATAGTGGATCAACTTTTATTTTCTCAGAAGTAAAATATGATCAAATAGCGTGCTTGTGGTGGATTGCAGAATAAAATACTTTATTTTTTAAATTTGACCCATGTCATTTTTCTCTCTAGCTTTTCTGAACTTGCAAGGATACCAGGAGATGTTTTCTTTTTGTACCCTATTTATATATAAAAAGGAGTTTAAAACAAAACATGATAAAGTCGCTCTTTCCATTTATACTTTCATTTCCTTTTTATACTTTCCTATACATGTAATACAAAACACATACTCCGCATGCCAAACGAAGAGCCTGCAAACGTGTATGCCCTTTATACACCACCCCAGCGGAGAAGGAGACCAGGAAGACAACTCACATCATACCTAACTTGTATTCAACGCTTGCTTGGAGAAAGTGATGGCATGCCGCGACCAGACCAAATCGCAACACTTGCCCAAGATCGCAATAAATGGAAGAAGCTTGAAGTCGACTACTCCGCAGCCGAAGGATGATGAATACCAAACAATTCCTAGAAAGTGAAATCAATAAGTTTTCTACAAAAAGTCATAAAAGGAAAGCGAGAGGTGAAACAGATGGTGCAGCTTGACTAAAATGAATGTTGGGAATACTTAGGAACCAATATTGGTTATTACAGTCAATCTGGGTTTTTTTTTTAGAGCGTATAGGCTTAGGAATAACCTTCTTGGAAAAAATGACAACATTCATTGAGGGGGAAAAACTCTCGGAATGCAACTGATTTCAGTATTTCAACAAGCCAATGTTGCAATCAACAAAATTAAATTAATGCTTGAGATCTCAACATTGTGGCAAAGCTACCCATTGAACACAGATTAAATCAAATCAGGCTTTGCCCTTCATCGACATTTTAACACTGTTACCTCCCGAGTGAAAGTTGGAAATATCACTCTGGTGGGACTCGAACCCACGACCTCCCGCTTTCTAGTGCAGATGTCTTACCACTCGACCACCGAGCTAGATCGGTTGGCTGGTTCGAATCTGATGTACATAGCAGCGGGTACCGCATAAATGCGGCGAACACAGATTGGAAACAACATGCATTATATGGATGAAAAATCTCAATTGCCGAGTTAATACAGAAGGCGTTGGAGCAAGTCATTTAATATAATATCACCTTTTAAACGCAATGACCCTAAAACCTGTTTCGTCCCCAAAAAAGCAAGCAATTTATTTTGTATTCCGACTGTTTGGAACAACAAAGAAAATGACACATAATACTTGTTTCAACAGCTGTCAACAACTGTAGTACACAATACAACCCTGCTTTGGCAAACAAAATGATTTATAAAATCTTTTTTTTTAAGACGGGCCTTCAAAAGGACTTTGTTTAATATTTTTAACTTTTAAACTGGTTTATCGCTGGTGATGTTGGAAGACAATTGTGACGACGACTCTCGAAATTGTAATTTGTTGGGCGAAAGTGGTTTTAGGGTCATTGCGTTTAAATGGTGATATAACAGATTGAGCTATTTCATAATTTTTTCATCTGAAAGTAGTTTATGAAATTAGCTTTCCAGTCATTCTTTTTTGTGCTACATATATTTTTAAATATGAAATACATTTTTGGGGGGTTTGGGTTCCGCTTTCTTGACTCGCCCTGTATATCATCATCGGAGGTGAGATGGCCGGTTTGAGAAAAGTCGTGACCTTGACGCGACAGTTCGTTGCAAAAGTATTTGTATATCAAGGTATTAATAATTTATCATTATTTTTTGTATTGATTATTTAAGAGGGAAATATCGGGGAGAATAGTGGAGAAAACTAACCATCTTGGCGAGGAGGATATCATTTAAAA